ATATATATATATAATTCTAAAAAATTACAGAATTTGTTTAAAAAAAGCTAACGTTGTGTATGCGTTCAAGCGAATGAATAAATTGTTTGGATTTAAATTTAATGATGTGTGAATGCAGATATTTGGAAGCATCCGATTAAAAATTTCTATTTTACACAGAGATGCTTGTAGATTTTTACGCGGCGATATAATAATTTATAAAGTTATTGGATTCATATATTTTCAATCATAAACAGTGAAAAAAATATGTTTAAAAATTTTTTTTTTCTTTTTTGCAATGATCTCATTTTGGTCCTATTTTCGCGACGATAATTATTTAAATAAATTAAATCGAGTACATCATTTACTGAACGATTACAGTAATGCAATCAAAAACAGCGACGAACGGAGACCAAAATGAGAGAGCGGATGATTCTGATAAACGCAAAGAGATACAAGCTATTTTTTAAAGAGACGGTTCCTTCCGACAGATTCGTTATTAATTTTATAAAAGAATATCTGCATTCCGCTGATATTAGACACTATGAAGACACTAGGAAACACCGATACTAGGATCGAGCCACTATTAGAACCAGATATCTCGCGCGCGTGCAGCCTCTATATACTACATATAAAAATACCCTCTACGTAGTCAATATATAAACCGTTAAAACGATATACGAAAAACATTTTAATTGCAAAGATCTCGCTATGTTATCTTGTATATATGCGAACGTCTCTCGTATGTAACATATATATATATATATATATATATAATATATAAAATCTATTACATTAATATGTAATTCGTGTTATCTCTTCCGGTACATTCGTAATATATCATGGCACATTCCTTTAGATACAAAGATCCGCACAAACCGATCGCGATGCACGATTATTTATATTCCATTTCTTCGCATCTCTACTCCCACAATTCTCGCCTAAATCCAACAATTATCCAGTAAAAATGATAATTCTTTCGTGTCGCTTTATAATATGATGACAATGTAGACACATAATTGACAAGACTGATTGACAGAATCGGTGATGATCAAGTGTCTCGCTATTATTGAGACGTCGGTTTGTGCGAATCTAAAAACAAACTCGCGATCAGCGATTGATGCTCTTAAAAGATACACGATGGTAGAAAAAAAAAAAAAAGAAAACGAGCACGCGTATCGCTTTGGAAGAAGAGCTTTGATATCAGCCGTTTGCTCGGCATGTCCATCCCATTAAACACATTAATAAAGCATTCGATTTTTGGTAATATTAGAAACCCCCTATAGGATCGCTACGTTAAAAGAGAAAGCGGCAGCTCATTAAACTTAGGCACTTTTCTCGTTGGAGACCCTTAGTTTCAGATGTCGGAGATTTTTCCCGAATTTCGTATATTACGGGATATTTATATAACAGTAACCTATGTCTATTCGCAGAAAAGGAGACTAACAATTGCACTAATCGATCATTCACGGAAGTCTAACTAGGCTCGCGCGAATGAGTCCTATTAATAAACTTATCACGAAAACGAGCTACCGCCTGCAGGCACCTAGATCGCGCATTAGAAGAAACATAATAAGAGTCGGATTGAAACAGATAGAAAGAGGAAGTTTTGCGATAGTGAAAGATACTCGGAATAAATAGAGACGTCGGGGTGGAAAGGGGGAAAAGGTTAATCGAGAAAGCGGGAAGTGTTAATAGTAATGGTGCTTCGCCGGGCCAATGTTGGCGCCGCGCGGCATCGGAAAAATTAATAAAATTAAATGATATGTTGCTTCTCTTGTTAATTCGTGGTTTTTCTTAACCCGTAAATGAGTAAACATAAAATTAAATTCTATATTAAATCAAGCACGATTACCATATGTCTAAATATCCTCGAGAAGTACGGTAAGCAAAAAAAGAAACCTTACTGCGCGAATACAGAGGTGAACAGTTATAGTTGTTCTCTTATATTTCAGAAATATGTAATATTACGTGCAATCTCAACTCGTCGTCGTAAGATCGTTGTTTGTATACGGCTATCGAAATACGTTCGTAAGGCTACAGATCGAAAGCACGAGTGTTATATCTATCTAAGGGCACTTTCTATATTTGTTTTTACGTATAAATAATTTGTCGTTTCTCTTCGCTTCGAGGCATCGAAACGATAAATTGAATGTACGTTCTTGACATATAACGCACAATATGTTCAACGAAATTGGATATTTTTGCTATGAAATACGTCAAGTATATCACTGCCGAATTATTCTCGTTCCGATCTCGGTACAAAAGCTGGATATACTACTGATTTTAATCGACAGACTATTTTGTTAAAACAATTTTGCGCTATACCTTATCGCGTTTCCATATATAGTGCGTTCTTTTAAGCCATACGAATTAGACGGATTACTTTTCTTAAAATTATTTCTCGACAAAATTACTGCGCAAGCGGACTTCGTCGTTCCGTTATTTTCAATTTCATTGCTTATCCTCGTAACGGAAGGTTTTCGTGTTGGATTCTTGCCGACTTGACATCGTCATAGTAACGGTTTTTTTCTCCGTGACTTTGTGCATCGACTTGCGTTCTTCGACAGTATCGTTGTCGAAGCCTTTGAATGTCGACAGATCATTACCGGATGTTGCGTACTCCTTAGTCTCCTCTGTAGCCTCGTAGTTGGAGCTGCTGCTCTTGCCGGGCGTGGACGTGTACATCTTCGTCGTGATAGTCTCAATTCTGCCGCCGGGGATGACCTTGCTCTCAACATTCTTGAAAGTTTGATGCTGCGGAATGCCGCTACCGAATCGTTGAGTATCCATTTGCTTTTCGGAACGGAACGTGCTCATCGGGCTCACGCCTGAGAACCGATCGGTCGGATATTTCTGCTGATCTTGTGGAGACTTCGGATCGTTCAGAGTTTGTTCTTGAACGATTTTGGGGATGGTCGAGGGAGGTTTCGGTGAGTACAAGATGTGTTGAGGCGGCGGCGGCGGCGCATACGAAACGATCCCGTCTGCGTGCCTCCTCTCCGCGATGTAACTCTCCTGGTTGATCCTCCGTTCTATCGAGCTGTATTGGCCGGGAGAATTGTCTGTTATAATCTTTTTCTCGGTAACAATGTACGGACTCCTCTCTTGATGACCATCGATGTATTTTCTATCCAGGGATCCGTATTGATTATCCACAGTAGATCGGTGATACTGACTGTCCTTCATCTTCCTCTCGAGCGTGCTCTGCGTCGAGTGTACCTTTTCTGGACTAATCAGATTCTGTCGATCGCCGAATTGATGACTGATGTGCTGCGTAGTGGACTGCAGTTGGTCTAGAGTGTGATTCATTGTTTGAATGGGCGAGGGCGTAGTTTGCGGCTCGTACGCTCTTGTTTCGTATCGGGTGGTGTAACTCTGGTAGCCGCTCTGTTCGGTTGCTACGTCGCCATCGCCATCGGCCAGATCCGACCGGTTCTTGTACTTGGCCAGACGAATGGCGGTAAGTCTGCCTCGGGCCTCCTCCAGCTCGCGCTCAATTCGTAATACCTCCGAGCGTGCGTCAATCTCTTGCGCAATACCGCCCACCATACGGCGGTTCAGGACCAATGATCTGTCCTCCTCTTGTTGGATAGCCTGTTGCGCAGCGCGTACGAGATTATCGGTAGCACGTTTCACGGCGTTACCAGCTGCCTGTAGGCGCTTTGTGCTCTCGCTGTCAGGGTCGGCTTTGACCTTGCAAGCGACCAACAGTTGCGCCGTGCTGCTGGCAACCTGCTTAGCGCTGGAGATCAACTTCTCTTCGGAGCTTACTCCTTGAACGAGAGCGTTTGCGGATTCCACGAGGCTGTGAGTGGCAGCCGCTACCATTCGAGCGGCCGAAATGAGACCCTCGGACCACTGACCATCGTCGGAACTGGTCAACGGCGTGCGCGACACTTTGCCGGTCGCGATGAGTTCCCGTTGAGCGGCACTGGCGGCTTTTATCAGGGCCGAGGTAGCAGCAGCAATCGACTTGGCGGCTTCCAGAATCATCTCATCGAAATTCATGTCTTCGTTGGTCTCCTATTGAAAACGAGATAATGCATATATTGAAAAATAAGATGTAATTTAATAATCTTTTCAAGAATTGAATTATACAGTCTTGGAAAGTAATTTTTATTTTTGTTCGAATAATCAATGATACTGTAGAATGCTCTTAATTAACTCACCCGCTGCAAAAGCTGATGTCTCCAATCGCCGTAATAATATGTTCGATTCTCGGTCGATCATTCATAACGACCAAGAAAATCAAACATATCTCACGGAAACCGGAACGATGTTTATTCGTATCTGTTACATTACGAATTATCGCGATGTAATAATCGAAAACTCACCTGAATGCTTCTCCTCGGTCTCAGACTGGCCAATTTCTTGGCGGCCGCGTCAATACTAGCGGCCGCACCGAGCAGTTCGTTCTCTGCAATCACCGTAGGATCGTCGGGATCGACCCAGTCGTTGCCTTTCAACAACTCTGCCACTGCCACCAACTCCGTTACACTCTGCGCAATTTTGCGCGAGATCACCGGTAGAGTATGTTTGGCGTCACCCGATCTGGACGATATTTGCAGAATGGCCTGAAGCAACTCTCGATAATTGATGGCGACATCGTGACCCGCTTGAAGAGTACGGTCGCGCAGCTCGGCGGTTTCGGCGCAATTGTAGGCCGCACTCTTGCAGATCGTCAACATATCGCTGATGGACTTTCTGCCCATGTTGGCGGCGACGATTATGTCGTCCTGTTTGCAACTGTTTCCAGCGGAGACCGCCTTTGCCGTCGATAGAGTGATACTCTTCGTGCAGCGTACGAGATCCTCTGGCGTCACGTGGCTCTTCTGGTTCTCCGAGCTGTTGAGCGCTCGAATCTCTTGTGCTATAGCCTCGATGGTAGACTCCAGCGCTCTGGTGCCGCGCGTGTGCTCATCCTCCACAGCCTTCACTGTCTTCAGCAGCGATGTCACATTTGTCACCATTACCTGAACGAAGATTAGAATATAGTGTAAGTATATTAGATATATACAAATCGTTTCTACACTTGTAATATCCACGAGAGAATAATACAGTTAGTAGTATTAGATTTTTAGTGATAATCTTAAAATAATGAGCATAAATACAATGAAATAAAACTAATAATACTAGCAAATAATACTATTATCGTAGTGTGTTAACACATACGTAAGATTAGTGGCCGATGCGCGTATCGTGGTTACATGAGCCTATCTAATGGTCTGATGATAAAACAATAAGCAAAAAATTGTAAGGAAGCATCAACTAGAAGACTGTTAATGATCCAAACACATCGCTGTGAATAGAACATACATACCTAAGGATGATTCGCCCGATAAAACGATATAAATTGAATTGAGATAGTCTTCGGCGAAAAGAATAGGTCGCTAATGAAGAAAGTAATTCACTTGACATAAAATTATTTTAATGTACCATTTTCAAAAAAAAGAGCAGAAAGATATTCTGATCGTCATAATATTTACATAAAGTGTGTTAATGTCGATATGGTTCTGGATGGTCCTAAATACTTCACAATTTATCTGAAATAATTTATTTGAAATATTTATTTGAAATATTAAGCTATAATCGCTCTCTTTATATCAATAAATGTGTTAGAAATGATAACTATTTTAACAAAAAATCTCATTGATGGTTAATGCCGATTACTTGATATCTCTCGCTGATGCCTTACATGATTTTTAGCAACCATATCATATATTCTTTACGTAAAAAATATCAAACACGCAAATTATTCTGGCTACATGCTATATATCTTATACAAAACTGCGATGAAAAAAAACGAAGGGAGAATGGAAAATACGGCTACATGAGCAACACTAAGTCGGACGTCCGTTGTGCCGGCTGAGAGCTCTCGGAAGTGGAGAGCAGACGGATTAGTTCCTCCTCTTGATCGGACACGAACCATTCCGATTCCGAGCCGCCGATGTCGCTCAGATGCACAAACTGCTGCTGCAGCTGTCGCTCTAAAACCTATCCGGGATCGGCCAGACCAAAATCGTCAATGTGAGACTCGTATTAAAGTCCACCATTTGCATCGTCGAAACATTCAAGATACAGATAAGTTACGCTACTACTACTGCTATCATTATACATCGCTCGAATCCCTCGAAAAGGGGTGAGAAGAAGCGTGTACAAAACAGGCGGAGAATCGTTAAACAAACAACATATTCTTTACAAAAATGCCACTTTCCGCCAGATAAAACGCATCCGCCGCATATGTTATACATATAGAAAGATGGAAATACGAAGCTGAGCGTGGGGAGAGCGGTTCAAGGTGGACTTTAATAGCGCCAGTCGTATATATATTTTGGTCTGGAGATATTCTTGCCCTATATATCTACAATTTCGTATGGTCGAGAACGGTGGTGATGAATTGTTTTTTTATGTAAACGAGATTTTAGTAGAATGGAAACGAAATCAGAGTTAGAGAGGCAAATACGAATGTTCGTCAAAATGAGTCGATTAAAGTCCACCCCAAAAAAATATCTAAGAAGGATATGCTATAATTATGTTTAAAATAAAACATTATTAAAACTCGGCAAATTAATCGAAATTGTGCAAATTTGTTATTAGTCTTCACATTCATTTTTATAGGAGATTTATAATTTCATCTCACAAGATTTCTGTGAAAATTATAAGTCGAGCATATATGTTCTACGATTACGATGAAAATATTAGATTTCGATAAATTAATCGATTAGAGAATTTCTCATTATACGGATTTCATTAGAATATGCATCATGTTTTATTAGTCTTCGAGAGATGCTTCATTGTTAAATAAATAAATCACAACGTGATTAATTGTTTAAGCACATTATTGCATTGAAAATTATCATAAAGATCTATCTTCTCATTTCATTATAAACAAGATTCTTCCAGTTCAGCCAGATGGTTAATCTCAAGCAACAACGCGCAACAAGCTCCATTCTCATTGTTATAAGAATGACCAATGGTTTATCACAGAAGCAAAACGGAAGAGATTTCGCATGAAAGCGAATTACCTTAGCGGAATCCTTCAAATGTGCCATACTGGGATCATTGATGGGCTTGCCGCTGGCAGCCTTAGTAGCGTGTATGAGGTCACCGAGTGCAGAAGCGACGTCTTTCACGGCGTTGATCAACATCACTTGGGCCTCTGGATTCTGACTGCCCAGACTAGCCGCTCCGTACTTGACGACCTCGGCGAGTTGGACGATGGTTGAAACCGCGTTCTGCGCCGCAACTGCTAGCTGTTCCTGCGAGGATGCTGCTCCAGCGACTAATGTCTTCGTATCTTCTACCAGTGCTTTAGCGGTTTGCAGTATATTTTCGCGATGATCGGCAAATGTATCGTTTTCATTCTCGGCGTGCAGTGTGCCAGCAGTGGCGAACATGATGGTGGTGTCCAAATCGCCAATAATGCCGGAAACAGTGCTGGCAGCATTGATGCATGCCTGAGTGCCGCGCGAACCCGCTTGTAAAGCGGCCAATACCTGCGATACTTTCTCGGTCACAATCTTGCTCTGTTCCGCGACTTCCCGTTGGGCATAAGCATCACCGGGTGACATCTGACATGTGCCAGCAGCGCGAACGATGTCTGCGCAAGCGCGGCCAAGTTCCTGGACACCGGTACGAAGTTTGGCAGACACATCAGCATTGGATGCGGCTGCGGACGCTCCAGAAGTGTCGCGAGCAAGCTGAGTATATTTGTGCGATATGTCGACCGCTAAGGGACCCAATCTGGCCACATCTGTGCTAGATTTGGTCGACTGTAAATAAAAGAAGAATATATAATTTAAGAGCATTGTATATTATATATTTTGTAATTATAGATGTAAAAGTTTACCATCTCTTGTGCCAAACGAGCAATCTCTTTAGCAGCTTCGACCATCCTTGTCTGATAATCCACGTAAGAATCCACGGTGTCGATAGTGGACATTCGATGATCCTCTAGTCTAACCATCGCGCGAGAAATCGTGTCGATCAGGCCGGTAACAATGCCCGCAGATGTAGATATAGTTTCGAGGGTATTTTGCAGTTCCTGAAGCGCGTCTTTGGTGGATTCGACGGTTTCATCCACTTCAGAGTGCAACGCAACGGCTTTCGGATTACCAGCGGACTCTTTCGTAACGTAGATCAGTTGCAATGCTGATTCAGCCACAGTTTTCGTCTGGTCCAGCAGCACCATTTGCTGTTTAGAGTGCACCATGTTGGATGCAGCACCGATCGCACCAGAGACAAGCGGTTCCGAATAAAGGGCGATCTGATTGACGGCATGACCAACGTTCTCCGCCTCGTACTTGGCGGCAGTGCGCAAGGGTTCCAGTTTCTCGCGCAATTCGCTCGCGCTGCTCTCCATTTGGTCGGTGAATCCCTGCACGGTGTTCTCGCGGCGCGGCACTAGAGCCTGCGAAACCGCACTCAGCGAAGCAGCATCGAGTTCACGTATACGTGCTGACAGCTTCTCGATCGCCGCATCGCACTCTTTCTGACCGGGCGCTTTGTCGCGAATCGATGCCACTAGCGATTTGATCGAGTCGCTGACGCTCTTGCTGTGATTAGCCAATAACTGCCAAGTCGGCGGATCTTTCGGACTGACCGCGAGACTTTTGGCCGCCTGCACCATGGCGCACGAACCATCAATGATGGATTTGCCGGCGCTAGTGATCGGTTCTTGGGCGACTCTAGCCGCAATAGATATCTTGGCCGGCTGGCTCGCAAATTCGGGAGAGCTTGCAAATGTGCAGAGATTGTCGACTGCCTCGAGCAATGGTTTCGTAGCTTCCGCACATTTCTCGCGATTAGTATCGGAATAATTCTTGTCAAGCGCTTTAATCTCCTTAACGAGGCACGCCGTCGAATTGGCGACATCCTTGGCGGACTGAACAAAGTGCCGCTTGGCTACTGGATTGCTGGTCTTACTGGAAGCAAGTCTACAGGCGTTACAAAGCGCACTTGTGTGCTTGGCGATTATGGTAGCGGCCGAAAGTACTTGCTCTTGTGTAGTAGTCGGATTGCCAAGGCTCTGGCAGCCACTGTGTATGGCTTGCGCTGCTCTTAAAAATTGCGCTTGATCCACCAAACCCGGTTTACCTGCTACCGATGTAGGATCGCTCACTCCCGCGAGGTAAGCAGCTTGAGCTGCGGCTTCTATCAGACCGCAGATCGAAGAAGAAACTCCGCGGACCGCTACGGAGAAGTTCTCGTGTTCCGACTTTTTCGCGTAGTTCGCGATGCCGGTCATACCGTCACCGAGGCTCTTACTCTTCTCCATGACGGTTTCTAAGCACTCAAAATATGATGCATCGGAGATAGGCTCGCTCGGATTGTCCAGTAGAGATCGCATAGACTGAATATTCCTAATAGCGTTGTCGCATTCGTTCTGTCCAGGCGCTGCCGAAGTGCACACGTCTACCAAATAGTTGATGGAGTCGGTGACCGCGCGTGCTGCTGCCGAAAGCTGATTCTTCGCATTCGGCGCGGTTGGATCGGCCGCCACTGATTTGGCGGTCACGAGGAGCTTGCCGGATGTCATAGTGACGTTTTTCAGCGATACCACCACTTGGCTACGAGTCTCGATCGTTGTCTGACCCGCCATTTCCATACCCACGCCCAACAGATCGCCGAATGCATTGGTAAATTGTTTGGATGAATTTGCTAGCTGCACGGGTGAACGCACGGACGACACTATGTTTGAAGATGCGTCGTTCAGATTGGCAGCCGCGTTATTGAGGTCGCTCTGTAATCGTCTGCAAAGTAAAAATTGCAAAGTGTATAACGAAACCGAAATAGTATGTATCTCTCGTATGCCAATTATTCTAAGCAAGCGATAAGAATAAGTGAGGTAATAAAGAAAAACTAAAGAATAAAAAAAATATGTAACGAAAAAAGCTATTTACCCATAACTCTTGCTCGTTTGCGGGAACTCGTCCATGTTGAGCACTTGAGCCATATCATCAATGTTGCGTATCGCTTCGTCCACATCTCTCTGTCCGGGCAAACAGGACACGCACTTGTTCAAGGAATTGGAAACATCTTTAGCGACCACGGCTAAGTTGGCCTCGTTCTCAGGATCGTCGGGATTCTTCAGTACGCGTCGTGCTTCCTTTACCAAACGCAATGATCGCAGAATCACATCATCGGCGGTCATCAGTACTTTCTTCTGCGTTTCCGGTTGATTAGATGTAGCGGCTACGCCGCGCACGGCGTAAGTGAGATCTTTCAAGGCCGATGCGGTCTCTCTAGCAGCGCTTCCGGTGTAGTTCTCGTTACCTTGTTTGGCGGCGGATAATAGCTGCGCCATAGCAAATCCAACATTCTTCGATGTGGCGCCGAGTCGCAAAGCAGTAGATTCCGTTGTCTCTTCCGGTAGTGGTCTCAACGAGGCAGCCTCAACGGCGCGATAGAACTCGCCCAGCTCGTCTTTCAAACTATTTATCAACTCCTCTGCGGCATCGAGCTCCAATCCACCACAGGTTTCTCTGGCACGCGTCACCGCTGATCTTAGATCCGCCAATGAGGATCCCAACTGTTGCGAGGTATTGTTCAGTTGCATGGCGGATGCCTGATCTGTGACCGTTGGCAGAACGGCCCTGGCTGCCTTCACCACGGCAGTACCTGGTTGCAGAAACTGTTCAGAAGCGTTTATCAGATTTAGTTGCGCCGTAGGATTGTCCGGCTGTGCCTGCGTGCCTTTTACTCCCGATACCAAATGAGGAATATGTTGCGCTATCGTGTGGCACTCCATGTTAAGTTCCTCCTGGCTGGCCGGATTTGTGTTGTGATGTCCGACACCGGAAGACGCCGCGATGCACTGCGTGGCCGTAGACGCGGCCTGTTTGGCGCACGCTTCCAGACGCGTGATGAGCTTTCTGCGTAACGCCGGAGTCGCTGCCACTGTAGTCGCCGCTCGTAATTCCTCTGCTGCCTGGCGAAGTTGATCCTGCATCCTTGCATCATGCGGACTACTAGCGCACTGCCGCGCCGCCTCCACCATCTTGGCTGTGGCGTCAGCAAGCAGTTTTGCTGCTGCAAGAAGCCGTTGCTGTTGCTCTGAATCTGTTTGTCTCTCCGCTTCCCCTTTGATACTCTGAATCAACTGCGCTGTAGCTTGACCAACCACTCGCGCCTGCCGCACCATTTCACCGGCATCACCGGTACTGGCGAACAGTTTGTCTGTTGCAACTAAAATAGTTTCCACTGCGCCTTCCTGAATGGACTCTTTAGCGCGTTCTCCCCTGGTCGCAGTCTTGATGTGATTGAGAAGATCGTTCAGAGTGCGGCTGACCTCACTGGCAGCGATACTCAATTCCTTCAGTAGATTCTCATCGTTACATGTCTCATTGCAGACTTGAACCAGACGCTCTACGGCTTTGGTTACCTCGCGCACGGCGTTCATCAGTTGCGTCTGACAAGCAGGCGAGTGTAAGGTCGGCGCCACCACTTTGGCGCAGGCTACGAGCTGCGATGTGGCCAGTGCGCATTGCGTCGCGGCTGATATCACCCTGTTCTGTGTAGCTGAGTCTTCGCATGTGGCCGCTATGTTCTTTGCCTTCAATACCAAAGCAGCGGTGGTATTAGCGACGGCCTTGGCAAGCGCAAGTAACATATCCTGCAGTTCACGATTCGAGTCATCCTCTTCGCCAATGGTTGTCAATACTTGATGTGATGCTTCGCCCACTCGCGATGCAGCATTCAGAAGATTCTGCCGTGGCTAAAATGTAAACAAAAAATAATTTATATAATGTTTATATATGTACATAAATATAAGCAGAAATAGAGATGAAGAAAATTAATAAAAGAAATTTTAAAACTAGTAATTTGACAAATTCTATTATAAAGTGATTAGAAGCAGTTTTACTGATCGAGGGTTCGAAAAAAACTAATGTATCTATAAAAAAGCAGATATAATATTATCCGCGCTATAAAGTTTTGACATGTTAGTGCTTACATATTGTTCATAGGTCGTTGTTATGTGGAAAGGCTGCAGGAAAAAAGGAGGAATTTGAAACTTTAACATTTAACTTTACTATCACAGATTAAACAGGCTTTTTTTATTCTACATAATATTGTTTTATGCAGTTTTTTTATCGTCACGATAAACTCACCTCCTTGGTCTCCGGCTCCGTGGCCTTCAGCAAGTCCGAGAAGGCCGAACAAAGCTTCCTGGCGGCATCTAATAAACGCTCACCAGACGAGTCATCGTCCATGAGAGCAGCTATCATTCGCACGCCCTTGGTCATCTCCGGTAGATTCGTAGCGATCGTAGTAATCGCGGCTCCCACCGCGGTATGATCGACATCATCCGCTGGTCCCGAGGTCAACGTAACCACCTGCGCGGTCGCGGCGTTCATCGCCGCGATCTGCGAGCCTACGTTCTGTTTGTGGGTGTCGATCGTCTGCTCGATCCATCTCAAGGATGCTGGATCTGTCCCTAATTCGGGCAGCTGAGCCTTCGTAGACAGTTCCATCTCGGCGATATGGATCACCTCGTGACCGGCGCTGATGGTCGACAATAAGGCACGTTGCGGTTCGGATAGGACGGATGTCACTTTAGTTTGCTGGACCTAGTTTTGAATATTTTTACATTAAAGAAATCGATCTGTAGTCAATCGTCGGCTGATTTTAAAATCGTAAAAAATAATATTTTTTGCCGTAAAAAAATGTGCAAGTTTGAGAATGCAACATTTTGCTTACGGTAATCAACCGAAATATAATATAAGTGATTTGCGCACATAACGAAGCGTACATAAACTGCAACAAATAGTTGCGGCGATACAGAGTTTACTGATCGATCGAGTAATACGAATATTCTCTATCGTAAAAGAGCATCTCTTTAAATCACGCTAGTGGTTAGCATATAGAGATTTTATCTTACCAGTAAGCATTGTATCGAGAGAGAAACATGAAACGCAAATGAATCAGACAAAAGAATTAAAACGGAAGGAATCTATAAACTCAAGAGTAACAGATAACTGAAAATGTTATCGTAATGTACCTACTCTGTGTCCGCAATAGAAGGCGCCTAGCATGAAAATAAATTTAACCCTCTGTTAGTTTCAAAAAATTTCGCTCTTTTTGACGTGCAACACAATGATTCCATCGGTGCGACTTTAGATATTTGCAAAAAGTGCATAATACTATACTAAATATATATATATATATATATATATATGTATGTGTGTGTGTGTATATATATGTATGTATACAGACACACACATACATATATTATTAATCATCAATAATTACACAGTAGTACGACAGGGTTCGCTCTTGCCATTATTACCGTCAAAGTTTCCGAAGTACCAATTTTTTACAACACTTCGAGGCGCAATATATATTTATAACAAGCAACTAAAAAACACCGACATCCAAAGTGAGCTTAAGAGCAACTTGGGCGATTTTTAATGGAGCTTACCATAGGTGGGGCATGAGCGATGTTCACCTGTCCGCTGACGGTCGTGTACTGGGCACCACCTATGTGACCGGTTCCGTATGGTCGGGCCCCTACAAATCACACCATGCACACTCTAACCTGATGGTTTTATTTACAATTATCGAATGTTCCGATCGAGTCCTCGATACCACGAATCTGTTCATTCAGATGTAGTAATTTTCCGTCGAAAGCTAAAGGCGAATTTAATTATTTTGTTTTGTTATAAGCGATACTTTGACGAATGCTCAAAGCTTGTTGAATGTGTATTTACAAAGTGAAAAAGGTGTATGTATGTACAACATATATCAATAACTAAGATCCGAGGATTCAATCGTGCAAAGAATATCCGCTAATTGATTTCTGCTTCTGAATATATTAAGAGAGAAAAAGCTGGTATATAATAATCTATGATATTTAAAAATTTTAAATAGATGACACAAGTTTTTTAATTTACAAAACTAATAAAGTTTTTAAAAGCTTCCATATGTGCAAGAGGCTCCGCCTACTAATTACGTTACTTCTTGATGAAAAATGAATAAAAAAATCCTAAATCATTTTTTTCTGCAATGCTCAATGAAAAAGAAATTATAAAATAAAATCCACTCAATCAGCCGTCCTTTAGCAGACATACTATCCGCGATCCGTGAACCGTGCACCGGATAGTATATAGTCAGACACACTAGCAAATACGCGACGTATATATATCTGACTAACGAATGGCACTGATTAAGTGAATTTTATTTGATAATCCCTCCTTCGTTAAGCATCGCAGAAAAAAATGGTTCAGGTTTTTTCGATTCATTTTTCATCGAGGAATAATACTATGTAATTGAACGCAAATTACGGAACAGCTTGTATACATTCAAATTCGCGTAAATAAAAGTTGCAAAAATTTTTTGGAATTTTTAGCAAAAGAAAATTAAACTTTTGTACATATTTTACATTATGGGCTTGGAGAATCTAATAATTATGTATAATTCCTATATTGAATAACATAATCAAATACTATCTTTAGAAACAAACTTCATTACTCCATATTAAGTTATTTAAGAATAAAATGAAAATTATCAGCAAGACGCTCACCATCTCCTCCGGCTCTCATGACAGCTGGTATGGCAACCGAGACAGCTTCTACGTTTCCTTTACCGACATTGCTGGTCTCGTGTTGCATGATGGTGGCCCTGTCAAGTGAAATATATGTAAAACGTATCAAATCATCTAGCTTAATGCTCTTATTTAAACTGAGTAATACCCGTTAGAATTGGAAACTGCTCGAATATGTTTATTTGCGTGGCGTCTCAGAAACTCCTCCATGATTGTATCAAACTAACGCGAAATATTCTCGAGACAGAACGCGCACTGAACGCGTAAGTCGATTGCTTTGCGGCGAGTCTGACTCGTCGAGAACTGATAATTGCTCTAATACTCTATAATGACGATTATTACTTCGATCCACGCCCGCCTCCACGTGTTCACAAAGTAGCTAACACGTATCGATAGTGTGAAAGACACTCACTTCAGAGGCGACACGCTGTCCTCCACCATGGTAGATCCCTCGTCTCCCTCGATACCGAAATGATCCTTCGCTTTTTGCTTTTTCAGAATAATATCGATATAACCGGAGATCAGTTGAAGTATCTGCTCCGCTTCGGTAGTCTGCACACTGTAATATTGATCGGAGTAGTCGCCAAAGTCGAGGGTAAAAGTGTTCGGTGAGGCGCCCCATCGTCGCACAGTCGTCAACGGCCACGTCTTCAGGATCTCCTTCGTTTTCTCGTCGAGTCGCAGGACTGAGTCCTTTGTCACGCCGAGCAAACGCGGCACCAATTTGTTCTTGCCTTTCATTTTCTCCTTTACCAAGAAGAACGTGACACCGTACGTGTTCAGCGATCTGGCGGTCTTGGTGTATAGGACTTTGGCATCCAGCTCCGAGAGCCCGATGTGTTTCTTATGCTCTGCGTAGATCTTCTTCTCTATTCCCTTGACTTTCACATACGATTGCGGCAGAAATTCCTTAAGACTAAGAAAAAAAAAAAAGTGTTTTAAGTGAAATGTTGATAATGATAGAGTTGAGAAATCACATCTGATTGCAACTCACTCCAGAAAACCTGGCTTATGCTTCTCCTCCTTATGATCGCCAAACTGAATTTGACACTGGATCCCGGCGAAAACACAAGCTTTTTCCTGCGTAATCGGATGTGTACCATCTAGAATCGCATCTCGCGCTTGCACGTACAATAGCGACAATTGTACAGGATCGCGACTGTCGATGTTTTGATCCGAAAAGAAAAATTTCCTCCTCAACAGAACCGTTTCGGATTCATCTATGCCTTGTTCGCGCAGAGTCTTACTTGGATCTATCCAATTAACTGTGAAATAAGAAACGCGAAATTTAAATACATGTCGAAAACATGATTAGTATTTGAAATTATATAAACACAATATTCCATTTAAAAAATAAAACGATTTAAAATAATTTATAAAATAATAAGTTATTAAAAAAAAATAAAAATAAAAATAATTATATGGGTAAAGTATCAAGATAAACTTTATTTTTCAATAAAAAGGATGCTGTCTCTTTTATTGTATAATCATCTCTTTTTTGATTGCACTGTTTCCCGATCTACTGCCCTGTATGTATTGATAAAATGTTAAATCTAAGTTTAAATATAACTAAAAGCTCGAAAACTTATTACCTTCATCATCGGTTTTTAACTTCTTCCTCAATTGTTCCATCTTAGCGTCTCTTTCCCCTTTCTCCTCCTTTTTTCGCTTCAACGTGAGAGTACCAAAATTTCCGGCTTTCTGATTTTCGTTTTCCTCGTCCACTAGCTCGCGTACTAAAGAATACTCGTCGTGATTCGTGATACCTATCTTCGTACATATCACCACCATGAGATTTGCCACGGGTTGGCTGTCATCCACCAACATGGTCTTCAGCGTTCCGTCCAGCATGCGAACTCGGAGAGTACGGAGCTTACGACGGTATTCGAGCAGATCCCCGTTTCTTAGGATGTAATAGTCGAGATTTCGCCCGGGTTCGAGCCAAACTCCCTTCTTCACGTCCTCATCAGCGAGAAACAGGCCGTAGTCTTTCGCTACAAAAAGTAACAACCAGATAACGTATCTTGGAACAGTATCTTTTATGATTTTTGATGCACGATATATAATTTTATCGTGTGTGTTTAATATTTTTAATACATTTATATATGAATAAAAGAACATGAACATTTTAGTGATAAATTGAAAATTTCCATTACTCTCATCAAAGTAGATTAAATCTCAATGTATGATTCTTTAATTCTCCTTTTATTGCATGAATTAGTAAATGAGATATTCCGACATATTTTCGGAATTTTATTTGCACTGCTCTCCGCTGTCATATTATATTGATGATATTAAAAGAATTTGACTAAAGTTTGGAATAAAACGTATATCTCCATGCAAAAAAATATATGCTTATTTTTAAAAAAATGTATACACCGTAAAAAGCGTTAATAAAATATTTCAACAATATAAATAATTCGGCTGTGGAATATTTACGTTGACCCATGTTGCTGGCTTCGGCGAGTTTTTCTCTGATAATGCGACAAGCGTCGTAAACCGATGTGCTGGGATCAAACTGCATCATCTTGGTGGCATTCTTCTCCGGTATGGAGATGCGCAAAGATAGCGTAGCCATTGCGATTGCCTGGGGCGATCTTCTACGTGCGCAAAAACCTCCAGAATCACTTGACTGAAAAAGACACGACGTAAAATAAGATTACAACAGAATTTATTATAACAAGACCAACATTTTATTAATTATTAATATTAATTAGCGGATATTAATTCACGTGATACTTTATCGACCAGCACGATCAATTGGATACTTATTCCTGAGTCGCAAAGAGTTTTGCACGTAATCATCTTAGATCACTTTTTCGCGTACAAAACGGCCTCTTAACAACATATATGATCATTCCTCGGTATTACGTGGACGATAATCTAAAGAATTATGCACAAGCATGCAATTTCTGCTTTACAACGAAATTGAACGCAACAAGTTGCAAAGATCGACTATTGTGTATGTATCCACTAGAACGCGATACAATCTAACGACAAGGTCGTTAATATAATGCCGTTCAATTACACGGTTTACATTAGTAATTATTATTGATGGAAGAATCGCAATTATTTATTTTATAACGCAATTTAGAATGTAATCGTGTTGCTTAAAAATTGCTTCTGGCTTGTAAAGCCTTACGCGGCATATTATCCTACCGTGATCCGTTTGGAAAAAGGACCGTGAAAATATTTCGCACGGATTCGTGGGAACGAGCGGTAACGGATTAAAAATGCCCCGGATGCGTTGAACTGAAAGAGAAAGCCACCCACCGGTGGGACTTGTGTCTATATATCGATCTTCCGATGGGACATATTACATTTGCCATAGAATTTGTCACAGGATGCAATCTTCCACGGGCGTAGAAACAACGATAGAATTCATTGAGGTGTGTGGGAAATACGTACTCCTCTTCGCTTTCCAACTTAAGCAAGATAATTAAATCAATTATGTATCTCTCAATAAAATATCTAAAAATATTTAATTGACGATTAATGTAATTAAATTATCACATAATATGGAGTGTCCGACATAGCTTATCAACTGATAAATGTGTAAAACTTTCTGATATAATGTCAAAATGTGATTTAAATGAATAGCCCGCCCTTCTTATAGAAAGGGAAAGATGAAAGAAACATAAATTTTTCATCCTAATTACACTTGATTATCTTTAATAAAGATTATCTAGAGGATATATTTTACTCGGGATAATCGCAGAAAGAGAGACGTATTCTCTGAGATATGAATAGATCAAATTTAAATGAAGTGTCTCATTACTCAGATATATAAAACGTATAAAGGGTGACGTGGAACACAGCTCGAGGTATAGCCTTCGGTTACTTCATCCGAGACGATTGCTATCTTTCTCCGCTAATTTGTGGTGCATGCAACGCATATTCCTCGAGATAATACGCGCATCATTGGACGTCACGAGAATAAACAGCCAATTTCGTTGTATTCATCCCGGACCGGATTGTACAGCTAGGGTTCATTGACGCGTTTTTCCACGTGTTCTCACGGGGTGGGCCGGTATAAGGAATGGTAATGGTGCATAAATTCGTCGCAAGTATATACCCTACGCCAATGTGGGTTTCCACCCTTAGAGGTTGCCAAGCAACGCCGGTCTCTCACTGTGTCAAACTCCGACCGTAACCCCCCGTTGTATCCGTGGCTATCCTTTCTTACGATCGCTCTCTCT